GAGGCCCCGGAATTCCGTGCCCTAAAAACGACAGGCGCGAGTGCCTCAAGAAGGAACGCGAGGCAGAGGAGCGCATGTACAATCTGCCTGAACGTCGCTGAGTCACAGACCTCCTGTGCTGGTTCTCCTCGGCCCCAGGGGGCCGTCTAGTGGATGCGATTTGGTCTCGAGAAATGGCAGAGGGTTGCTTAATATTGCACTGCAGTCACGCGCGAAGCAGTCCAGGTCTCAATCATAACCCTGTTGCCCGACTTTCGGCTCTCTTTATGCATCCTTGTGCCATGAATCCTCCCCCATCTACTGAACATTGGACAGCTTGAATCCGCCTGTGACCCTTGTCTGGAAGAACCCGGCCGGATCGTACTCCCTGGCCACGCGCTTGAGGAACGCAACGTTGTCCGCCCCGTACGAGCTGAAGATATCCTGGCTGGGGTCGGCGTAGTTCATGTACTTGTAGGGCACGTATCCATCCACCGACTTGGCGTATTCCTCGACATCGACGATAACCTTGGCCAGGCGAGTGGTGAAGAAGGCACGCTCCTCGAGGGTCGCGGCGCCAGCCTCTGCCGCCAGGATGATCGAATCGGCGTCCAGGGTCTTGTCGAGGCCAAGCACGTTTCCGGTGCCGGGCTGTGTGCCGTAGAATTTGGGCATGAGCTGCAAAACGAAGATGATGGTAGCCGAGCTCTCGGGGAACGCGCGCTTGGTGTCCGCGACGACCTCGAGGAAGATGTCGGCCACCTTGTCGAGGAGGCGTCTCTCGTTGTGGAAGATGGTGGTGTGCCAGGCATTGCTGCATCTTGTCAGAAAGCGTTTCCCAATGGTTTGAGACGTACTTACAAGCTGTCGCCCGGGTCGTGGTAGGCGTTGAGGAACTCGGCCATGGTGCTGTGAGCCCCCATGTCCACAATCTTGTCCATCTCATTCGCGGCGAGGTTGAGCGGGGTATCGTCGCGGCCATGAAGGTTCATGATCATGTTGCCGACGACGGGCTCGGGGGCACCGGGGTGGTTCATGTACATGATGAACTGGCTGTCATCGTGGTTCTCCTCGATCTCGCCGATGACCTTGATCATGCTGTCGGCAAGCTGCTCCCTGTACGACCACGGATGGAACATAAGTCCTCCATAAACATTCTTGACAGGGTGGGTCTTGAAGTCGAAGCGGGTGACGACGCCAAAGTTGCTGCCGCCGCCCTTCAGGGCCTTGAAGAGGTCGGGATTCTCGTTGCGATTCGCTTCGACGATGTCGCCGTTGGAAAGGACGATCTCATAGTTGACCACACTATCGTATGCAAAGCCAAGATGACCAGTCATGAAGCCCATGCCAAAGCCCAGGGTCAGTCCGGCCACTCCGACGTTGCCTACGCGACCGCTGGCAACGGTGAGATTGTGCTTCTCCGCCTCGACAGCTGGCCCAGCCAACTCGGAACCAGCGCCGACGGCAGCAATCTGGAAAAGTAAGTCAGTTCATGTTCGAGTTTCTGATGAGGTCGAGTCCCAGCTTACCGTCTGGTTACACGAGGACGTCTGGATGGTGGTTTCGTTCATCCTGCCCAGGTCAATGGTGACGCCCTGGTTGATGTTGTTGTTTTCTCCATGCCCATGACCACGACCCCGGACGGCAATGTCCGACTTTCCGGCGCCGCTAAGAGCCGACAGAGCCTTGACAGCCTTGGAGACATCCTCGGCGGTCTCTGGTTGCAGAATGCAGTACGGCCGCAGCTGTCTCGAGCCGGCTCCATAGTAGGAGTTGACACTGTCGATGTAGGCGCCATTGGGACCGGTGGGATTGAGAACGAGGTTCCCAAGGCCCGCGTCGATCAGGGCATCGCACTATGATGTCCGAGTCAGATTCTAATTCGGGTGGTGTGCATGGGACACTCACCGCCGGGATCCCCGTCTTCTTGGCGAGCGAGGTGCTCGCAAGGGCCGCGAAAGCAGCAACGCTGGAGATCGCAACCATTGTGCTAGGAGATTTCAAATAATCAAATGCCAAAAGAAACCCTGGAAACACTTGAAAAGAGTGTGATGGCGAGAATGTCGCCTGAAATAGGTTGTCCAAAAAGCGGCATGCACGAAAGCAATGGCAGCGGACTCGCCGTGTATATACCTCCGGACCGAGGCGGCTCTCAAAATCATGGGCCACACTTATGCTATCATGCATTAGCGAGATTTCTCCCTGGAACTAGTGTCTGTCAAAGACCCGATGAAGAGTGCCACGTCTGGAATCCTTGGAGCTTGCCCAGAGTAGCTGACCGCTTGGCAGCCGGGCCGAGTTGCTGATTCTTCCCCTGAATACCGGCAGCTTCTGCATGCAGAGGAGAGGCACAGAACCGAGCCAGGAGCCTGGTTCTCCCAGGAAGTCCGCAGAGGCCCCGCTGCCGTGCATGCTCGACGCTGTTAAATGCCCCCTCTTACAACTCATGAGGCGCAGCTCGAGGTTGATTTGTCCGGGGTATTCGATTGACCGGCCACGATCATGACCTTTACACTTCACCCAATGTAAATTGAAGAAGACTTGACGTTTTGGGCATTGTGGAAACAAATAAATTCTCGATCATTCGATCTTAAGTTTGACATATGCAATGGCATTGCACTGTCTGTTAAATCGGCTCTCTACCTCACCTCGGAGAAGGGCGTTGGCACAAGGATCAGGTCATTTAACCTGTTAGCTTCCCGAACAACCAGGATCCAGGTCATCTCGGCCGTTGGTGCTAATCGCCTCCCTAGCGCCGGGGATCTGGTTCCTGGGTCCGCGAAGAACTCCATCTCCTTGTCGACTGGGGTAATGCAGTTTCGAGTGGGATGGCTGTTGGCGCTTGGCCAAAGGCTTACCAGGTCCTTCCCTCACGGACCCAACAGCATGTGGCAACATGGAACTTCATGCCTACAGCAACGAAAAATTATGGTGGCTTCTTACTTTTATCAAGGTAGTTACGTTCTAGTTAGACGTAACTGGCTTCCATTCCCAACGTTTCAGAGTGACTCGGGCATTGTTTTCCTGCAGAGATGGACCATGATAATGCGCATCGTATTTGCTCCGGGGGTGAAAACCTCGACCAGGAGACATGGTAGACAAATCACTTGTCATCGACTCATGATACTGTCTTGCCCCCGCCTCGCGTAGAGCCAGACCTGGAGTCATTAATATCGGCGCCCCTTGCAGCAACATCGTCCCCAGACCTGCATCCACTCGGATCCATCCCGCCCCAGTTGTAGAACAAGAATTCTCGCTTTCGCTTTCAAAGCACCTGCATGCTGACCTTGGCATGAATCTTGCGCGACAGGCTTCGTCTGCAGAACTCCTGGGGGTCTGTCGCCAAGCTGCAAGTTAAAAGACTGTGTCAACAACCCTGAGGGTCAAGATGATGTTGGTGATCCTGCGTCAAGAGAGGACAAGTAGGAGGCAAAACTTGGAAAGCACATGTCGTTTACCTCCGGCTTCCATAATACTTCTGTGATGCCGGCGTTGATTTTGTTTTGGGGCAAGTAGGCGTTTGTTCCTATCTTTCTGTAACTTTCGACAAAGACACGATGAACTGGGAACCGATTGCAGATGCCAAGGGGACAGTCAACGGGTCCGTGTGGCCCATGGTGGCCATCGCGACCATTCTCCTCGGCGTGCGAATCTACTATCGCACGACCGAAGGCCGAAAGTTCTTGTGGGACGATGGCCTCCTCGTTCTGAGCTGTGCACTCCTCATCGCCGGAGCTGGATGCCTCTCTCATGCCATCCACCTAAGCCACATGTCACCAGACTTGACCACAACCGACCCGGTGTTGATGACGCTTCTGATGCCGCTGGCGCACAGTTGCCACCTTCTCTCGCTGCTGCTGGGCAAGATCTCGTTCGGCGTCATCTGGTTCATTATCGCCGTCGTCAGTATTGCCTTGCCAATCCACGCCGTTGTCCTTTGGCGCCCGATCTGCGGGAACCCATCGCTGCATGCTCTGCCCGGCGCGTGTTGGGACCAGGCCAATACGGGCTATTTCAACATTGCAACTTCCAGTAAGCCGCCCGTCTGTTGCCTCTTGGATGCACAAATAAATGTTGACTGTGATCTAGGTCTTCCGGCTGTGACCGACTTCATTCTTGCCGGCATGCCATGGCGAGTGGTGCTGAGCCTGAACATGGCCAGGGCAGAAAAGATCAACTTTGGTGTAGCCATGAGCTTTGGCATCTTGTAAGTCGCCGGTTTCTCTTTCATTCTCGTTCTGGAAAAATGCTAACATTGCTCTTAGGGCAGGGATCATTGCAATCCTCAAAATTGCCCAGAGCACCTTGATGTTGGACCCCCTGAAGCCAGCGTGTAAGTTGACCACCACTACCACTGTTCGACTCAAAAAAACTAACGGTACCTCACCTCTATGTAGTCATGAAAACCGTTAGGCGATTTTGGATCCTCTCATTTGCCGAGCCGGCTTCCACGATTGCAGCCGCGTCAGTGCCCATTATCCGAGTCCTCTTCCGCGATGTCGTCCGCACCGGCGGCTACTCCAAGAAATCATCTTCAAAAGTAGCCGACGCCTATCTGAGATCAGGCAACGCGCAGGTCCAGATCGAGGCCTGCATCCAACGCGCACCGCAAGACCCGCACGATGCCTACTTGGAAGCAAACGAAGACGCCGGGAGCGACCGAAGCATACTGGCCGCACAGAAACAAATGAACATGGGCATCATGCGGACTACGGAAGTTTCAGTAGCATACGGGGCGGAGGAGCGAGGTGCAGCACAGTTGGAAGGCGGTGCAGGCGACAGTTACGAGATGTCGACGAGGACGGGTCATCGAGCGTCGGGCGTCCGAAGCCCAGCTCCGCGGGCAGCTTAGGTAGATAAAGCCCCTGTATATCAGAGATATTTTACCACCAGGGGCAATAAATTTTACCACCAGAGGCAGTAGATGCATCTAAAGCTTGGGAGATACTAGCATGCACGAGTGGAAGTCACAGAGGTGGAAGGGGGTATTGATGTGAGGCAGTTTGAAAGGGCAAAAAGGATGCGGCCACCAGGAATCGAACCAGGCTCTAATGAATGGAAATCATTAATGCTAACCACTACACCATAGCCGCTGTCAATGAAGAATCCAACGAATGCGCAAACTATGACCTCCGACCCCTTGCACCAAATTTCCCAAGATCCTCTCCCCGACCGCTCTCGAGCAGCTGGAGGTCAGTCTTCATTCAAACCAACATGGTTGCAATTCGAAGTCGCTTCCTTTTTGATCGCGGACATGACACCGACTCTCCCCCATGTCCCTTGGGGCGTCCAATGCCTGGGTCTGATCTTGACCTGCCCTATACCTTGGCCCGTGTGAATCCTTCGCCTGCCGAGACGCGCAATTGTTCACCCAGGCAACTGCAGGCTCCTGTCTCATTTTGACCTCGTTGTACCTCGAACTCGAATCCATAACCACAACACTCCAGACACCACCGAATACTCTGATGTCTACACTTCATCCCGGAACAGACGGAATCAATCACTGCACGACGTGATGGCGACAAACACCAAGACCCTTCCGGGCGGGGTCTGCCACGAACTGCCCGATGACCTCAATCTGGCAATTCGAGAGGACGAGACGGCCCAGGCGGCGTGGCTCGACATCACAGCCCTCGCTCGAAACGAATTCATCTGCTGGATCGACGCAGCGAAGCAGCAGAAGACGCGCGAACGCCGCATCGGTCGCGCAGTGGAGGAGCTGGTCGAAGGCAAGCGCCGACCGTGCTGTTGGCCCGGCTGCTCGCATCGCGGGGCAAAGTCGATTGGCGACAAGAGTGCGCGACTGCTACCAACCTTGACCCTTTTCCAACCACGCTGATGATGTGCAGGCTAAGCTTCGATACGTCCAACTTCCCCAGGTTCAAATGCTCCGGCACCTGGAAGCAATTGGACGCCTGCGATACACCACGGCTGGCCCGACCACGATCCTTGGCAGGGATGGTTCAGCTCGAGCATGCACGTCGTGTGCGGCTGACCCGCTACCCCCCATTCGACATAGCTCAAGGGACGAGCCGGCCCTCCGTCCCATCAACATGGTGTCTCCGTTCCTACGTCCTCCTTCTCTTCTCCTTTGTTAGGTGCAAGGCATTGAGAATCACGGCCGTCATCATGTCCTCAAAAGCATCGTACACGTACGAGGAACTCACCGATCCCGTTCCGGGCCAGTTTCGGCTGCTGCATCTTGAGCCCGGCACAGGCGATGTCCGCTTCACCCTCTCCAATGCGCATCTTGACGACAATCCGGCCTACGAGGCCATCTCCTACTGCTGGGGTGACGCCAAAGACACTCGCGTCGTGTACTGCCACAAAGTTCCGATCAACATCACGAACAGCCTCTACACGGCCCTACTACGACTGCGAAGACCAGACGAGACCAGGATCCTCTGGGCCGACGCAGTCTGTATTAATCAGGCCTCCATGGATGAGAAGACCCAGCAGGTGAAGCTCATGGGCCGCATCTACTCTCAGCCGAGCCGTGTTGTCATCTGGCTGGGCGAAGACAAGACAGGACTGGATGGGCTAGAGGATTGTCTTGTCGGTGCCCAAGATCTGCTCCCGCCCTCGACCCAAGATGGCGACGAGCTGCTGGCCGCCGCGAAGACGGCGTATCTGGAGGCCTCCGTGAGTCGCCTCCTCCGGTGGCAAGCCGTCCGCTGACCTGTGTCAGGAGCTGCGACGGCAGAAGAAGCCCAATTTCAACGATCATGACTGGAGACCTTTCGCCAGCGTCCTCTGCCGGCCATGGTTTGACAGGACGTGGATCATCCAGGAAGCCATCCTCGCTCCTGAGCACGTCGAGAGGCTTGTGATGTGTGGCGATCTCGAGTTCCCTTGGAAGACACTCGCAGACGTCTGTTACCGAATTGCATCGCATGGATTCGGCTTGTCACTTTCGGGAACGTCGGTTCGTGAGTATTCATCTGCCGCACACTCGCCGCTTCATGCTTCTCACATCGTGGACAGTCAATGCGAGGGCCCCGAGCATGCTGCACTTCATGCAAGAGAATTGCCGACCCATCATCATGCTCCAGTGTGCCTCAATGATTTCCCTGCTCCAACACTACAGAAGCGCATCCAACATTGTTGATGCCATCTTGACAGCAGGAAGCTTCAAAGCGACCGATCCACGCGACCACATTTACGGGCTACTAGCCTCGTGCTCCTACACCAGCGGCATCAAGCCGGATTACAACCTGACCGCCTCGGAGGTCTTGTTCCAGCTCGCCGAAGCCGTTCTTGTGGGCGACCAGAGCTTGCGCCTGCTGGGGCTCGCCCCCCACTTGACCTTTGGAGTCGGCGACATCGTGCCCAGGCGCATCGACGGGCTGCCGTCGTGGGTTCCTGACATCAGTTGCGAAGCAAGCATTGCACTGCCGTCGCTCGTCTCCTTCTCGATCCGCCCACAGCTCTACCATGCAGGCGGCGAAGTCCCAGAAGTCCCCATCCGCATTTCCGGAACTGGCTCGAACAGGCTCCTCCACCTTCGGGGTCGCATCATCGACACGATCGACGAGATGGCACGATGTGTTCCTGATATGCCCATGCCGACAGAAGAAGATATCCTTCCGAAGACAGGGTATCCCGCCATCCTCAAGCTGTTCATGCTTCGATGGCTGCGGGAATGTCAACAAGTCGCCTTCGGTTCGTCTGCCGCCATCAAGGAGACGATCCAGGTCACCAAGGACGATGGCACGACAACCTCTCAAGTGAAGGTCACTGCCAGCCCTTGGTCCGACGACTTCGCCAGAACGCTCATTTGCTCGATGACTCTGATGCGCGACCCTGCACCTCCCGAAGCCATTCCCGCCGTCAAGGATTTTGTCACATATCTGGAGGCCTACTTTACGCCTGGCTGGGTGATGACGGAGTCTTTCCGCGAAAAGATGCTGACGATCGGTCCGACCGTCGAGCACGCCATAGGAGTACAGAGCGTGACTCGGAAGCTCTGCCGAACTACTGGGGGAAGGCTGGGGCAGGTGAGGAAGGAGACGAGAAAGGGTGATGTGGTGTGCGTTGTCACGGGTGCTGAAGTCCCGCTCGTCCTTCGGAAGAGCGAAGTCGAAGGCACCTGGACCCTTGTAGGCGATGCCTACATCTCGGGGGTGATGCAAGGTGAGGCCTTGACGGACGAAAGATATGAGACGGTGGATGTCGTGCTCTCTTAGGGAGGCAGATGGTCAATCTCTCACAATGCCCTCACCTGATTCCGCCCTCAACGTCGAATGACCAGAGATCCATCACGAGCGCCCCGCCAGGCCCAGGTACTCCCTCATCTCCAACCCCCACTACCCCTCCGCAGCGCCCTACATAATGACACATTTTTCGCCTGGATCCCATCGACCGGCCCCTGGTCTCAATCAGGGATATCGTTCAGCGCGCCGTTGGTCTAGTGGTATGATTCTCGCTTAGGGTACACCCTGAAGCTCAGCTTGCGAGAGGTCCCGGGTTCAATCCCCGGATGGCGCCCACGTCATCAATCTTTTGTCTTTTTGGCCTTTCTGGGGGTGATAAGATGGAAGCAGGGTTAAAGCTTGCGTGAAGCCAGCATAGGCAAGGGAAATAATCTGGGTAGATTGCAGGTGGTTGATGTGGGATGAGGGTTTGTGGCTCTCCGCCCTTCACCTCAACTCTTTTTTACCGAGCCAAAAAGCAGGGAGAAACCAGGAAACCTGCCCAAAGTCGTCTGGCGCCGCCGCAGCAAAAGATATCAACCTCTCACTCCCCGAGACAGGATCGAACTGTCGATCTCCCGATATGCTCACACGTTAGACGTATTAACAGTCGGACGCCTTAACCAGCTGGGCCACCAGGGACGAGTGAAGAACGGTGATGCTCCCCGAGACAGGATCGAACTGTCGATCTCCCGATGTGTTGTTCGCAGATGCGGTAACAGTCGGACGCCTTAACCAGCTGGGCCACCAGGGATTGTTGAGGATTCCGGCCAAATCGATGGCTTCGTCAGGGCTAGCCCTGAGGGTGGATGGAGTGGATGGGGCGGATCGTGGGTCCGACGTCGGTCTGGGCAGTGACATCAGTCGAAGGAGGGGTCGATGGGGATCAAGGCGCATCACTTTTGAGATGGACAAGTAGAATGGGTGGGGGAGTCATGGAATCGTTAAACAGGTACCTGAATGAAAAGCCGGCTAAAACTCCAAATGTCTAGAAACCTCCAGACTCAATGTCCTCCGTAAAGCACATCTATCACCATCCCCGTTGCCCTCTTCGCCGTCTCCCGAATGGCCTTCTCGTCCAATGTGAATGGTCCGTAGAAAAGATGACTCTCCGGGTCCTCGCAAGTCGCCGTTCTTCGGGCAGTTAGGGTATCTTTCTCATGCCACACGCACGGCTCGTCCACGTTTTCAAAGTACAACGCATCCGCCTCATCCACTGTTCCTCGGCCATCGCTCCCCGGCAGCTTGTATGTCCGAAGCTGGTTCTCGATGATGGCCTTCTTAGCGAAACCGCCCAAGTTGACCTGCACTCCGGTCCGGCTGGGATATGGCGCGTAGAGCACATCGTGTCTGCCGCCACCCTGGCTCGGTTCCTTCTTTGATGGGTTCCAAAAGCCGTAGTATGGACGTCCGTTCTGCATCGGCTGGTCTTCGCGGATCTTCGCAGCGATAGGAAGATTCATCCAAGCGGCAAGCCTGCTTTCAATCTCTTCATCCCATACCTCGGCAAGGAAGGCAGCTGTTTTGACGTGCTCGGCCTTGGTGTGGGGTACCGGTGGCTCCTGTCGTAAGGTCTGCCAACCCGGTGTCAGGGAAATGTCGAAGAGCTTCGGGATGATGATGCGAAAAGACTCGATGGGTCGAGCAGACGGGTTTCTGCTGTAAGCTCCGAGGATGGATGATGTTCCTCTCGTGTAGCTGTAGTAGTCGGAGTAAGCCGGAGACACAGGATCCATTGATGCTGCGTAAAGAAGTTCGACTTGATCGAAAATGGACGCGGCGATGGCTCGAATTGTGATGTTTCCCTGATGTCGAGGGAGAGCCGCAAGGCACCAAAGATCCCAAGTGCCAAATGTGAACACCCACGTCGTTTCGCGGGGCGAGGGTACTGGCTTCGGCAGCGCCAGAAACTTTGCGACTTGAGCTGCAAGGTCTGGAACATCACCGACGGGATACTGCTCGGCTACGAAGTCGTAGTCCTGTCCCGAGCCTTTCGGCGAACCATTAGTCGTCATGTTCCGCAATGCCTCCCCGTACACCGACTTCGATGTCAGAGCTTGTGTTGGCAGGTCGATAGGAGGGATCATCGATTCATGTGAGGCGCAACCGAGCTGGCGCGCATGTTAGCGTACATCCGTAGACATCGGTAACTTCGAGACTCACCTCCGTACACAGCGCCTCGGTCCATCCCGGCCTCGGTAGACCCTTCCCAGAGGTCGGAGTCCACACATCGGGTGTGCCGAACACCACCATTCGTGATGGGCCAATGGCACTGGCGTTGAACGGCCCCGCGGGCGGTCCGAAGAATGGAAGCCAACCAAAGAAGCTGCTGTGTTCTGTCCCTGGGATTCCTTTCGCGTGGTTTGGTGCGAGACGGAGAACGAACAATAGCAGGCCGAGGGTCAGTAATGTCTGGACCAGAAGACGCAGTATCCTCGAGAAACGCGACTTTGTGAAGATGTAGAGCTTCTTTCCAATGCGACCGGCATCTCTGTTCTGCAAAGTTGCAGACCCTCCGATGTCTGCCCTTTCCAGGTCCTTCACCATCGTTGCAAAGGGTCTGTCCTCGGAAAGGGAGCGCTAAGTCGAGGTCGGCGTGTGCGGGTGCTTGGTGGAGAGGAGGGAGCGACAGGCTTCTCCAGATCCGGTACTATACGCCAGTTTCGAGTACGGAGAGGTTCCGGCCGTTGTTGTGACTAGTCAGACCACGCCTGCGTGGGAGAAGAAGTCGTCGAGACTGCGCCGTAAATGAGGAGCAAGGCTGGCGAAGTCGTTGCACGGTCGCGATGGCTTCGGTGACGTCGGGTCCAGCGATGCGGCGGACTCATGCAGGCCACAAAAACATGCGACGGTCGAGTTGTCAATGTTGAGTTGATCGTTGCTGTGGACAACCTGAAGAAGACAACAGGCAGGCCGAAAGGGGTGGTCGACGATGTTGACAGAAGAAACCCCGAGGCGCGCAATCCAATCCAGTTGGATCGTCGGTCACTGGAGGACCACCAACTGATCAGGCCGGATGAACAATGGATGGCACTCCTTGATTGCCATGGAACCACTCTGGGGTAGGATCGGCAGCCGCAACTTGGCAGAGCCGCCGGTGCACCCCCTGAGGCGGCAGTCGTCCAGGGCCAAGGGGCCAAGATGTCGGGCATTGGGTCTCGGAGGCCCCTGAAGTCCGAATACCAAGAGAATCGTCGTCAGCTTGTGGAACCTTGGATCCATCACTCTGACGACAGCCAAGCTGGAGCGGTGCTCCATCTTCCGTGCTGCTAAGCAACAGACCGAACCAGGCGCTTGTGGAGACTGGGGGTACATCAGGGGCAGGTGGCCCCTCACATATCATTCTGGCCTTCCCGGGCTGGAAAAATGTCCGTTTGTCATTTGCTTCTGGATAACGACATGTGGCCGAATCATCGACTACTCTCACAACATCTAGGTCCTTGGTGCATTGTCACCTTACAGATGCTCGCCACCAGCGTCCTTTCCACGCTCACAGGTCCTTCTTGTCCTCCTGACCATCCACGACCGGCAGGAGACAGATACGGAATGGGATTGCTGTCTCCAAGCAGTTCTCATCGATATTCCAGCCAGCATCCTCCGCGCGGCGAATGAACCTCTCCCGGTCGGCCAGCCTGTCGGTACACCAAAGCGGGTGCTGCCCATGCCAGCCGGTGGCAATGCCTTCGTACCATGCTTTGATGGCAGCGTGGGGCTCAATGCCTTCGTCCAGCTTGGTGAGTATGATCTTGCCTTGTAGGGTCTCAGCCGTCATCTTCCAAGCAATGATGTAACCCTTGCCCTCGGACCATTTGCGAGTCATATCAGCATAGCTCTTCGCCATGGCCAGGCGAAAGTGAGGTCTGCCATTCTGGGGGACAATGTTCGGCGTCCAAAACACGATGGATTCCTTCTGGGCAACTTGGGAAGGGCTCAGAATCTCTCCCCCAGAGCTGAACCAGTGCTGCATGAGGATTGTAGCGCGTTGCTGGTTCAAGGTATTGAGCTGGACGCAGCGAACTCCGCGGTAGTTCATGTAGAGGTGGACGAAAACCAGAATGATCATAAGAGAGAAAACAGTCTCTCGGCGCTCGACGAAGTTGACGAGAATGCTCCCAACAAAGAGGCCACAGAGGCCCACGGCTGTCTCTTGACTGGCTTCCTTGGCATTGAGCTCTGCAAGATTGTTGCTGCGGGCGAAGTGGCTGGACAACGCGGCCTTGCTTGCTCCAGCAGCAACACCACAGAGGGCACGAAGGGCTGAAGCGATTGTCAAGGCGAGGATCTTGCTCCAAGTATCAAGATACGGGCTGGCGAGGTCGAGAAAGAAGGCGGAGTCGTTGAAGACGTCGGCGAGGTACCGGTAGCGCTTGGCGTCCGGCTCGATGGCGAGGCCGAAACGGTAGGCGAAGACGATGGTCGCAACACGAGAGATGGCATCCTGGAGAATTGTCAAAAGCAGTGCATAGGTGGCCGTGGTAGATGCATCGCCGACGCCAAGCCCCTGGAGAATGGCGCGATTCGCAAGGAGAGAGGTGATTGTCGAGAAGAAGGCCTGAAGAGAATCGTACATCTGGTACTCGAGATAATCGGGCGAGACAGAGTGGTGGAAGCCGATCGGCAGGAACGCGTCGACGGCCATCTGGCGAAGATCCCGAAGGGAAAAGCCGATGGAAGAGCTGGCATCGATGGGCAACTGGGCTTGTGAGACGGTGCTTTCCTCCAACAGTGGGCGCGGGAGACATACCTCGGTGACAGACCTATCGGCGCGATGGATCCAGCGGCGCATGACCTGCTTGTCGGACTTGTCGCGTTCTTCGATAAGGACATCTTCGGCCTTGTCGTGGTAGGTATGGATCATCTTCGACTTGGAGGTGATGTGCTTCTTCAGATCCGGGCGCGGGCTGGTGTCCGAAGTCAGGGCATCGCCTGCGGCCTTCGCTTCTTGATTCAGCTTCTCTGAAGCCATGGCTCGACAGGTGAACTTGATGTCAAGTTCGATACAGACGGGAGCGCGGCTCGTGGTGATGTTGGTGTCGAAAGACGCTTGCTACACGAAACAGAGGATCTGACTGTGGGAATGCGGGCTGCTCGTCAAAGATGAGGACGCTGATGGGCGCCTGCGACACAGACGTCAGGGTGGGTGGGAAGAGGGGGGGAGAGGAGGTTGGCGAAGATTTGTGGAAGGTGATGCATCGCCGGCCGAAATGGGTACGGTAAATGGACACTTCGGTTCAGCCTAGAAAATGGAAGTCAATCGATGGGCACTCTTGCCGGCCGCGCGCTCTTGCACTGTTCCAGCAGGCAGTGGGTGATGCGCGACGATTGAAGCACGACTTCGCTGGCAGGAACCTGGAAGTAGAGCCTCAAACGCGGCAGGCGGCAAGGACGATACGACCAATCACGTGCCATGGTGCCGTTAGGCCTGCCCCCGTACTTCTCGCTCTTTCCCTCCCCGGATTCAAAGACAAGACAGGCTTAAGAAGCAGGCAATTCGATTCCGCAGATTTGGAAAATGGACTTGGCTCTATGCATTTCATACTTCCTCTCTACCTCTTGACGGGCTGGCCATCCTCACCCACCAGGTACTCGTCCGACTTGATTGGGCCCTCGCCAACGCCGGTCTGGATGACGCGGCTAACGCC